CTTCATTCTCATGTGAAAAGTACTCGTGCGTTGGCTGGACTCAACTGTTTTCCCACTCACTGACAAGACTGTGTGCATTAATCAACAATAGCAACAAGACTTTTTGGTCCTACCTCATAAACGTAAGTGTGTTTGAAAGTTCAAAGTCTGACTGTGAGCTGAAAATGAAGACTGTAACAATCTGTCGGTCCATTTATTTTTAATTATTTTTTAAAAAACAGTTTTGTTTGTAATAACCGATCTATGATGAAAGCCACTTTCCCCCTCTTTTAAACAACACTTTCTTTTACTTCTCCGTGATAAAAATTATACTGTCGTAAACTACACCTCCGTCTTCATGTGATCATTTGGTTGTTGTTTCATTAACTTTTTCGGCTTTCATAAGAACTGGTGTCGTTTTATGTGTACAAAACATAACATTGCGGGGGAGCCGCTGACCGCGAGGCCGAGCGCCCGCAGGTAGCGTGACCGGGGCGTGACCTCGTCTCGGAGGTCAAGTCGACCGGCAACTAAGAGATCCTGAGTGGAACAGCCGTGTATATCTATTATTTCTCTTATCATCAGGCTTGAATCCGAGTAGTAACTCATTTTGTCAGCATCCTTCGCAAATTGTAGCCTACTTACTCTCTTCTGTGGGTGGTTGGCGGGTGCTCTGGTGTGGTTTGCTCCTTCTTTCCTATCAAACATCTGTCATCTTTATCTCTCCCCTCCTTCTTTTTTTTGTGTCTGTTACTCTCTTGTAACACCTCTAATCTTCGGCACTTATATGACCTTATTGTGTTGCAAGTGCCGTGAAACTCTTGCTAAAACTAGGGAGTCCAGCTGTTGCTGGATCGATAACAACAGCTATCTTGACTTTGTCCTCTACAGGAGGATTTGTGAAACATCGTGGTGAAATCAGGCGCTCGTCGAAGTAACTAAGTCGCCCAAAAATTGACGAGCGCCTGATTCCACGGCGTCATGACACATTTGATAACAACCACTATCTTGACTTTTTCCCCCCAGGAGGGTTCGACGACAACTCCCCACTAGACTGCGGCGAGCGCTACGATGCAAAGACCAACAAGTGGACGCTAGTGTCCAGCATGTCGTGTTGCCGAGGGGGCGTGGGGGTCAGCGCTTTGGGAGGCCGGCTGTACGCGGTGGGAGGTCACGACGGCTCCAACTACCTCAACTCTGTGGAGGCTTACGACCCGCTCACAGACAAGTCAGTGGAGTTTTGTTTTATGTGTTTTTATTTATTTGTTGGTTTTTTTTGGTGTTTTTTTTGTTGTTTCTTTTATTTTCTTACAATCACCTTACAGACAAATACGTTATTCTTTTTTTTTTCTTATTACGGTCACCTTACAGACAAATACGTTATTCTTTTTTTTTTCTTATTACGGTCACCTTACAGACAAATACGTTATTCTTTTTTTTTTCTTATTATGGTCACCTTACAGACAAATACGTTATTCTTTTTTTTTTCTTATTACGGTCACCTTACAGACAAATACGTTATTCTTTTTTTTTTTCTTATTACGGTCACCTTACAGATAAGTACATTATGGGTTTTTTAATTTTCCTTCTTTTTGTATTATTTTTATGTGTTATGCATGTACGTTTGCCATTGCTACCAAAATTTCCACCATGGGATCAACAAAATGTTTGGGGTTTTTTTCTTTCTTTCTTTATCTATTTCTTTCTTTCTTCATCTTTTTATTTATCTATTTATCTATTTATTTATAATCTATATATTTATTTACCTATTTATCTATTTGTTTTTTTATTTATGTACATGTCATTCTTCCCCCATGGAGCAGGTCCGACTGTATGTTGTCGTCTCTCTCGCCAGGTGGGAGCCGGCACAAGGCATCCAGAAGCTCCGGGCGGGGGCGGGCGTGGCGTTCTGCGACTGCTCGCCGAAGCTGCTGCGACAAGCCACCTCCAACAACAACAACACTGGCCACTTGTAGAGGAGGGCTCGAGTCTCGCTGTGTCCTTGGGGTCTTGCTGGAGTTCGCTTCTGAGAATTATTTCCCATAATGCAATGGATGGGACTCATGTAGATTTTTGTCTGGGTGGTGTTGATTCAAATGTTCCAACTCTTGAGTACATTGAATACATTTCTGGCCCGACAGAGTGACCTTTGTTATGGGAATCTCAAGGTCTCGCTATAAAATCTAGTTGTTAGGCTACCGGACTCGAAATCGTGGGGTTGGGGGTTCGGGAGTTCGAGCCGCGGACCCGATGTTGTGTCCTTGGGAAAGGCACTTTACACGAATTTTTCTCAATTCACCCAGCAAAAGATCTTGTCAGTATGTTAGTGTTTTAGCGCCTATAAATGGCTGCTTGCACTGTATGCTTCCCAGGAAGTTGAGATTGTTTCAGAATGCTATCAGGTCTGCTGGGGTAATAGTATAGATTGTGAAGCGCATAGAGCTTGCTGTTGAGCGGGGATTTGCTCTATACAAATGCTAGCTATCTATCTATCTATCTATCTATCTATCTATCTATCTATCTATCTATCTATCTATATATCTATCTATCTATCTATCTAATTCATTTTCAGGGTAGAAAAATAGAATCGGCCCTCGTCTATTTTTAGACATATGTCGTTTTTTAAATTTTAATGTGGCAAGCGTTATTTTATGAAATGACAGCCCGTAGGTAATGTGCATGCCTGTTTGGACGCTTGTATGACAATGTGGATGATCCAGAGGGGCATAGATATAATACCAAGAGCCCACGAATGGCTGCCATCTTGGAAAATGGCCACCATTTTGGATTTTCACGTGGTAAGCGTTCTTTTTTTAAACAACGGCCCAAAACTAATGTACTTGTCAATTTTGGTGCTTGTATGACAATGTGAATGATTTTACACGTAGCTGCCCCACTATTGTTGGCGTCATCTTCAAGCTTGTTCATTTGTCTTGCTTTTTGATGAGAAATATACCTGTCTGCCTTAAAAAGAAGACAAGATACCCGCAAGTGAAGGAGGTGGGGGGTCATCTGGTGACAGCTAAAATTAGCGAGAAAATGGCCACCAAATTTTGCTGGCTTCCTAAACTTAAATGTCCTTGGAAACTGAAAATTTACGTCTTTTTTTTGTTCCTTGGATCAGCGTGTTTCAGTCAAATCCGCATAGAAATGTGGGGGTTTTTTTTAGATTGAAACAAAAGGTGTTGTGGCAACAACAAAATAAGAAGATAAATGGTCGTCTTTAAGGACAAGCGGCTGACCCAGGTTTGGAGGGGGTTTCCAGAAATCTTGACCTACACCAAAAGTGGACATTGCCCTACCTATAGGAGAAGTTTGGTTTCATTGGTGTGCATATTTGTTTGGTTATAGAGAAAACTCTCCTTGTCTTTTAAAGAAACTGAACAAGGGGCAAAAACTTTAGCTTCGATTTTCTCAAAACGGCGTTTTTCAGGATAGCCCCCTTGTGCTTAAAAGCGACCTAATAAAGTGATAAACATTGCCCCTCAGAAGAGCACCTTCCTCCACCACAATGCCACACTGTTACTACAGTTCCACATATCAGTATTATTTATGAACAAAGTCGTGTGATCCTGACATTGGACTATAAAAAGAAAAGGGGGGGATATTAACATGTTGTTTAGCACAACAGAATTGTAAATGGGCTGATTCATCAATGTTATGCTCGTAACTGTGCCTGAACTGCAACAGGGAACTGCTGCTTTCTCTTTCCTCATCCTTATTATTGTCATTTTTTCCTCTACTTCTTTTGTATGTTTGTCACACTCTTGTGAACTGCTATTTCCGGGGTGCCTTGATAGTCGAAGCAGACCTTGTGCTGTTGAGGCTAGAGATGTAAGCAGAGTAAGTCTGATTCCCCGTTTGGACTTTTCTGTTAATATCCACCCCTTGGCGCTCATATGACCTTATGCAGTTGCGAGCGCCGTAAATACCTTACTAATACATAATTAGCTTGGCTTTGCTTTTGCTAAGTGATCTCATACAGCTGTAGGTGGTTGTGATTTTTAGAATTTTTGGGGGAGGGGGGGGGGAGTGTTGTTTTCGGGTTGTTTTTTGTGGGGGGGGGGGGGGTTAATTTGTGGAGGAGAGGGGTTTATTGGTATATTTTGTTGATGCCGTCAGATGCCTAGCAGCCAGCAGATGATGGTGTGTGGTTTCTGTGACGGGCAGTTGAGGTGTTGAGGTTGGCCTACAGCTTTTTCCCCATGACACCTGTCTTTCCTTGTCCATGGCCCACCTGATTGGGTTGAAGTTGTTGAAAATGCTGACTGTCAGCTGGTGCCGAGCCTAATAAAGGAAGAAATTACTTACAATATTATGTATACAATATAGACTAAAAGAGTATTTCGTCGCCTATCACACCAAAGGGCGTATCCCTGTTTTCTTACTTTTTCAGGAGAGCGATTTAAAGATTTTCAGACTTTGGTTGCTTCATCCTTTTCCCTTGTCGTTTTAGTAAATTGCATCCTACCATCGGGATATTTGGATATTGTGGGCATGATAAGATATCAAACAATGAGCAAGATTGATTTTGCAGTGTTTTGTATAATTTCACTGCGAAAATGTGCCATCTGTTGGCATACGCCCTTTCGTGTGATTGTTCGATGTTTCGTCCTATCCAGAATCAGTGTATACGCCCATGTATACGCCCTGTGTTTGAGTGTCCACACAATTAATTTCAGTCTTCAGACTGACCGGTAGAGGATAAAATTTCTCCAAGATATTACTCCTCACTCCCCCATCCACCCACCAAATCTTCCTCTTTCTCTTCTCCTCCCCATACTTCTCTGTCTGTCTGTCTGTCTGGAAAGTCTGTCTGTCTGTCTGTCTGGAAAGTCTGGAAAGTCTGTCTGTCTGTCTGGAAAGTCTGTCTGTCTGGAAAGTCTGTCTGTCTGTCTGTCTGTCTGTCTGTCTGTCTGTCTGTCTGTCTGTCTGTCTGTAAAGTCTCCTCTTGTAGAACAAAGCATCATCATGTGAAATTGACAAGTATATGACCTGTTGGAGATCAAAGTTCCTTTCCAGAATGCTGTGGTCAGCTTGAGCCATCTTCTTGCAATCCTCCTTAAGTTGTCGCACCTTTTATTTTTCTGCATCGTGCCGATTGTAAATTTCCCTGAGTTCATTTTTCTGTGCTTCTTCCCCTTTTCGGAAAGAGTTGCAGAGTGAGAGTTGGTCCTTTTTAGGACTATGAAAGGCCAGGTTTTTTGTCTTAACACTCGTCTGAATGTGTGAAAACTTGGGATGTCATTGCATGGATTTTTTTTAACGAACATGTCGTACATTTTGGACAATGTGAAGTCTGGGCTGAGATACTCTTAGGTAGAAGAGGCCCCACAGTAGTGCGATTCCACGTGTGGAAATCTGTCAAGGTGTTGACTGGTGATCTCCCTGTTTTGTTCTTCTCTTGTCTTCATCTGCTCCGATTGCCCCCTCGCTTTGTCTTCTTCGACAATGCCGGTCTCTGTAATCTTTGACAAAACAACTCGGGCACATTTCTCTGAAATACCCAAAGTTGCAAGGAATGTGTTCCTACACACTTCCAAGCGCTTTCCACTGACTGTGATGTAATAAGCATGCGTTTTGCTGCGTCGAGAGTTTGGTTTCCCGACCTTGGGCTCTGTCGTCTCAATATGCCACGCAACGAACTCTCGCTGCTTCTGCAGGTCAGCCAGTTTATAAAAGTCCTGGAATATCTCCTTCCTATCCGTTCCTGAGATTCCAGAACACTGACGGCCAGCTCTCGTACATTCCATTCAACGCAGCCCTTTCTGATCATTCATGCTGGAACAACCTTTTTCGTGTCGGCGCTCATGTACTCTTTACCAGATTGTCGCTTTCTTTTTGCTTCGTTCTTCGTGTTCATTCTCTTCCGTTTATTTGGCGACGCCTGGCGGGCTGACCCTTCAACTTTAAATGATTCTGGTAGCCGTTCGTTGCTACTCTGGGTCTCATCGGTCTCAAAATCATTGTGCGCTATGGATTCAGAGTTTGTTGATTGCCTTGTCTTTCCATGTTGACTACAACATACTGGAATTTCTAGGAAATTATCATAGCAGAGGAGAACTAAACATCTGGTGCATGCTGCAAATACTTCAGTTTTGCATTTTTTTACTTTACTTTTGCCTGGTTTGAAAGATGGGTCTGTGTTCGAATCATCGAAGTAACCAAGGCCAAAAGACCTTGTCTTCATTCTCAGCCTCGTGTTGATCAGGAAATTCAATTGTCATTGTAGGCCTACATTTCCTAAGTTTAACTAACGGAATGTCATCATCCAAAGTCGGAGTCACCACAAGAAAAATCCCCGATAGTCTGAGTACAAGCTAAAGAACAATTTCGGTGGAGTTTCTTGTGTGTGTGTGTGTGTGTGTGTGTGTGTGTGCGTGTGTGTGTGTGTGAGAGAGAGAGAGAAAGAGAGAGAGAGTGTGTGTGTGTGTATGTGAGTGTGTGTGTGTGTATATAAAATATGAAGATTCAGGGGATACTTACATGGCTCACCAAGTAGACATGTCTTGAGATCAATATAACAAAGTCTAAGTCCTGATGTTTTTATCACTTCAGTCTGTACCACTGCCCTTGGGTGGGGGGTGGGGGTGGGGGGGGGGGGGAGTCTAGATAGTGTTGCTTTCTAGTTAATGAGTGTAGAATAACACGCTAATGGAAAAACATAGCTGAGCTATATTCATGTGTATTTTCGGACAAAAAGTAGAATTGATTTAAATTTGATCAAACCCAAGTTTGCTTTTTCTAATGGTTTCCATTAGTCAGCAGGCAAGCAGATCACGTTATGTGTGACAGTAAGCTGCAAGCAACAGTAACCAAGTGTAGGCTAACAACACAATAAGGACCGCCTCATTTTCACTCTTGCACAAGCAGGATTCGCTGCCACACAGTGCGTGTACTCTGTGTTGTGTATCAGGCCTATTGCATCATTAGAGGAGGGCCTAGAATCTAGTATTACTATGATATTACGTTATACGGCCCTGGCCTATGCCAGAAAAAAAGACAAAAGTGTTACTGTCGCTCACACGAAGGGGCGTATCCAAGGTAAACGTCCTTTCGTGCTAACAGAATTGATCAAACTTTGTATCAATTTTTTGCACACGAAACGGCTCGTCTGATTCGGCGGCGCTGAGTGTTAGCGTACGCCCTTTGGGATTTTTTACTGCTAGTACTGTAATTTTAAAGCTAGGGATACGCCGTTTCGTGTGAACATAGATCTGAGGCAGCGCTATCTACTAGTAGTAACAACTCAAAACTG